TCTTGTTGCTTATCTGGTTAATATTGTATTGATATTATAAGGAGAAATTCTGTCTTGGTCATTCATGGGAGTTAAAGGGTTAAAGGATTCAAAAGGGAGATGCTACTCAGGTATATAGCCACAATAAAACCAGATACCCAATAAATTGACCAATGAGAGTGACAAAACTTTAACCAGTCCAAAGCCTAGAAGTACAAAAGCTAGACAGAGCTATCCACTGAGTAAGTCACTACCCAACAAACATTACAGTTTACTGAGCACAACAGGCAAATTAAATTTTTGAAGCGTCAAAGCAATCCTTTAACATGTTGAATTTTTAAGAACTGCATGCAATTTTAGGTGGTTATAAGAAGTACTGCAAACATAACAAGGAAATTTCACTGATTACTGCCTGAAAAGTGTCTGCCTCCTACACAACAATATCACTGACCTTTTCTTTAACATTTTCAAATGAAGAAGGTGACACTACAGAAAAACACACAAGAAAGACGTCTGTCTGAGGATAGGATAACGGCCTCAGTCTATCGTAATCTTCTTGACCTATTCAAGACAAAGAAATGAAGAGTTATCAATGCTGAGCATAAAGTTAAGGGAAATTAGAGGTCATTGCCAATTTGGTTTTTAAATAGTTGTGGGACAGTCTTGTGGGAAAGAAAGTTAGCTTGGCAAAATTATAAGAAAAATTGGCAAGTTTATGCAAAGACTCCTAAAATGTTGTCTGAATCTTTTGTGACCATCAATTATGTCTGCACTTTGAGAGGAAGCTATACAATCTCCCCAAAGACATCAACGTTTTGCCAACCACAAAGAAAAAACTTTACTAAAACAATCACATACAAGTAGACCTACTGGTTCCAACCCACCAGATGCCAAGAGCATGTGGCTTGACAAGACAGGTGGCAAAACCCACTCAAGTAGTAATTACACAGCACATGAGCACAGTTGCCACCTGTCCCTCCTTCATAAACCAAGGTTAACCAGGGTTATTATTGGAAAATCTGATAGATTATGATTTGAACTAAGTAGGGGGGTGCATTGAATTAAACTTGATTTTGAATTAGATGGCGTGATGTGTTAAGAGCAACATGCCCTCCTAAGTGGTCAGGGAGAGGGTTCTGCTGAAAAATTTGAAACTCTCCATGATGTGATTTCCAACAGTCTGCCACAGATTTGAGTAACTTTTTTTCAACCAGGCATCAATGTTAGAAACAGTAGAAAAATACTTTTTTGTGTCTTTGAACACAAACCACAAAGAAGCCAGAGCAAAATGGTTTGACAACCAGCAGGTTTTCGCTGCCTACAGGCTTCTCACAACAACTCTTCTCAACACAAACACAGTTGCAAAAATAACTATGTTGAAAACAAAGAAGTAACTGAAGATTTCTGTTGGTTTACCAACTTGACTAAACTTAGTTTAAGCATTACATCACTCAAATAAATTGCATTTCTGGTTGTTAAACAAATGAAAGTTTTGCTTCACTTGTAGTTTGACAAGAACACTACTGAGTTACTGACCTGCTGTGTCAAACAATCCTAATGTATATGGCTCACCACCAATCATAACTGTAACAGCATAGTTATCAAAGACCTGGAAAAATACAAAACAAGCAGTCCATAAGTTAATATTATACCCCACTGAGGCATTGGACAGGAAACTGAAATCTTGTGCTTTGGTCACCAGTGAAGAATTTACCTAAAATAGACCGCAACAAAAACAAACAAACAGTGCAGTACAACTTTGAGGCTTCCCTTTCACTTTTACTAGAAGGAGTTCTCTGTTGTGAAAGTGCTTCAAAATTTTGCAAGGCCTCTCTAATGGAGTGATATAATTTCATGTGCATGTAGATTTCTTTGCACAGCTTCTCATCATGTAAAAAGAAACGTATCCACTGAAGATGAGGGGATATTGAAAATAAAAAGCTTGAAAATTATCAGATGAAAATAAGCAAACAATCCTCAGCAACTTTTACAATGGTTCATGAACATCCCTAATTCATTACTGTAACTGAAAGCTTGCACTGGAACCAACTTTTCCAGGTGTTCTGTGCTCAAAATATCTCACCCTTTTGTAAATCTAATTTAGTGTTACTGTCCAGGAAAATAAAACATTAAGGGAAACAGCTGCCACGTCAAAATATGTTTCTAATTTTCCCTGACATCATGAAAGGTTTTGGCAAAACAGTGACTCCAACAATTTCACTGCTAACATGAAAATAGCTTGGAAGCATACATGCATCTCTTCATCTTCAACCTGGCTGGAGTAAAATGCTCTTAGTGCTTTTTAAACCACAATTCAGAACTTGTCAAAAGAACAGCCATCACCTGAATGTACACACATGTCCTGCCTAGAGAACAGAGCCAAAATGGCTGGTTCATCCCGTGATCAATTTTCCATCACAACCCATTAAAAATAATAGAGGTCATCCCACTCAAACAAATGATGAGTTAAAATGTCCACAGAAAGGTGCAAGATCTCTTATGCAATTATATTGTACCAGTGTTTTACCATTAACATATGGAACACTCTCAAGAAAATTGTAATCAATATGTTTTTCATCCTCCTTAGCTTTTAGCCACTCATTAATAAGTGACCGCCGCATCAAAGTTCTACTCTACATAATAAAAAATGGGCCCTCGGGCAGCACACATCACTAACACACCGTCACTTAAAAACTTAAAAATAATTTTTACAGCTTCTCTTATTTGACTAATGGAAAACTTCGTTTGAGTACACAAACACGCACAAAATTCTAATATGCAGTTTTGATCGTTCAATGTTTACTGTACACGGGGGGAAAATGTGCTCAATTGATTCAGAAAGTTAACCCATACACTCGCCATACATTCGCGCCGAAATAAAATTTAGGTTAAAATGTAGCATCTTGACATTTAAGTTAATATGTACAACAGCTATAAAAGTAGGCACTTTAAAAGCTTCAGCTATCAAAATAATGGTACCGACAAAGGACGCTTAGCAAAGTTAATTGCATGGGTGAAAAGGTAATGTTAATTGTAAACTTACCGTGGGTACATATTCACTTGGAAATTTATTTGTCGTATAGGAAATCAATAAACATGTTTTTCCCACAGCTCCATCGCCAACTACAACACACTTTATGGTTTGCATTGTGCCAGGCTACAAAATTTTGTACGTTTTGAGGTTTTCCGCTGCAGTGGAATTCCTGAAAGTAAATCAGATACGATAAGAACTTCACACGTTAAACGTCAACATTTTAACTTGCTTGCCTCGACAAATTTTGTACTAAAATAGAAACTACAACGATGCGAAGTGAGCGTATTATGGTGGAGAATTTCAGCCTACATTTAAGGAATTGTTACACTACTACCGCAAAGACGTGTGCAATGTCTTGTAATGAATTGATATGAGCAAACTAAAGGCGAGAAGAATATCAAAGACCTTTGAGGCTCGCGGATGAATTTTTAAGACATAACACGGCAAGTCGAAGATGATTTGAAATTATTATGCTGACATATGACAAAACCATCACTGAACGTTGATCACATCAAGTTTGAACACAATGAATGAAACTTTCACAACTTAGAAGTCTATAGTTGAGGTTTGTAACACTACGATGGAATGAAAACCGTACAATCTTCTTGAAAACTTAAAACGACTTGTTACTCTTCAGCATCGCTACTGATCCTTGATTCTTTCCTCGAAAACTTTATACAGTCGATCAATGTCTCAAAACCACACGAAAGAATTAGATCATTAGAAAAAGTAGGTGCCGTCTATGTCGCCTAAAAATGGCAGACTTCGACGAGTAAAACCCAAAGTGGATGAAATTACACGACCAGAATTACAAGTTACAAAGACGGTGGAAGCACACAAGAAGGATAACACTAACCGGTAATTGAGTTTGAACGGTTTAGATCTCCCTTGAAACTTGGCAAGAGAAGCGTTTCACAATTGTAGTAACTACCGCTTATTCCATGAATTCCACTTTTGCAACGAGATGTCCGGCTTTCCAGGGGCGTTGGTTGACGAATTGATAGGGTGCCCTCGAGTAGCACTGACACGCAGAAACGAGGCTACCACTGCAAATCTCTATTGTATGATAGGATTGGTCTGCTGTTATCTGGCCAGGCTACAAGTCTCATTATCGTCCAATCAAACCAATCGTTATAAATTTATGTCGCAACTTCTAAATTTACCCGAAATTATAAAAAGGCTGCAGATTATTTCCTCTTCCGTTGTAATTGTTTTGCTGTACAGGGACGTGAGTAGGCCGCGAGTCCACCATTATGATAAATTTGAATTGATCGGAGTATGATCATACCAACATAATGACACAATACAATGCGTCGTTTCTGTGCAGACTTTGTACTTCACGATACTTTGCCACAAATTTTTAGTACAGAAAACTATTAGCTGGCTCTTGACTGAATTCGACTTAGACTTCCTACCAATTGTTTGAACCATTTTTATTTTCCTAAAATTGTGTCAGATTCATTCTGTGACCTCTGTGCATCAAAAAATAAATTTGTAATGATAAGACAAAAAAATATATTAGCATAATTTTCTGGTATAATACCCCTACGTGACAATATTTCTTCAAACACAAATGCAAAGGGTAAAAGATCAGCTTCCAATATCAAGAACTCAAACAGGATGTTAAACTCTTAAGAAAACAAAACTCTGACTTGAGTTTTTCTTTTTCATTCTTTACATCTGGCATTTCCTCAATCATATGGTAAAAAGGGGGAATTTTGCAAGTATATTTTCATGCATTAATTTTTGTGGTCCCATATATGTTCAAAAAATATGAAAGTTCAGAACAATGGCAGTGTCTGAGCAACTAAGCACCCACCCCTCCCCTAACCCAACAACCGTCAAGTTAGGGCTAATGTTGGGTTAGGAGAGCAGTAGGTGTGCAGTTGTTAGATATTAAGATCAATCTGAAATTTCTTGTAGCACAATGTTAGTTCACCTTGTAAACAGATAATTACCTTAAGAGCAAAGTGGAATAGAGGAAAAACTATTTAAAAAGTTTTTAATAACCTACTATCTGATATTTCACTTTTTTTTATTTTTTAAAACTTTCTCATCCAATATCATTGCTGCTCTCTTAAAGTACATAAAACTACATAATTACGATATCGTACAAAATGTAATACCTAATTAAAACATTTGTATATTTTGTGGTTAATCAATTGAATGACTTATATTTTGATACTTAATTTTAGATATCAATTTTCCTCTAAGTTACGTACTTTTATGCAACTTCTTCTTTTTCAATGTTTTAGAAATAAAAAAAAAATGTATTTCACTGGCACTTTTCTTTTCTATCTCACACAGAGATACAAGGTGGGGAAGGCCACTCCAATTCTATTTGGAGAGGTGACAGTAGTTTACAAGGTTCTAGTTGAAAAAAAATTCACCTCTCTCCCTCGCTTCGTACAAGTTAAATTCTACATATTCCCCCTAAAACAAGACATATTCATCAATATACTTCTCTCTGGGCTTAGGACAAAAGTACCCTTAAAAATCTTTTGCACTCTAATTATTTCTAAGCAATTGAGCAATTTATAAACGTTCACCTTTTACCTCTGCTGTAAGGTGTTTTAACCCTTTAACTCCCATGAGTGACCAAAACAGAATTTCTCCTTATTATACCAATGCAATATCAACCAAATTGGTGATGAGAATAAAGAAACATATCAATTAGGGGATAATTAGTTGTACCAATACTAAGTTCTCTGAACTAACATTATAACGATTGTACAGTTGACAGTAAGGAGAATTACAAATTTGATATGGGTGTTAAAAGGTTAAATTATACATGTATAAATAGAAGATGCAGAACTGAAGCATGCATGTCCATATCAAATCTTCATGTTGACCTGGACATGTGCAGAAACAATAAAAGCAAATGTTGATATATATTTTAAATGTTCCACGACATATAATATTAAATTGTATTTTACAAAATATGCTTAGTTTGCCTAAATGTTATTACTACTTGTAATATTTAATAAACTTCCTTATGATAAATTGTTAGAAATATTAATCACACTGGACATTATCATAAACATTTCTATTATCAGTCAACAACTTTCAAGTTGACCCTTTCTGATTCTTTTTCACACTTCTTAGACCACAAAAGAGCCCAAATTTGTACCTACCAATTTTCAGAAAATTGACATATTAAGTTCACCTCAAAAATACTGCCAGACTAACTCAGTTTGTAGTTACAGGAAAATTAGGAATACTAAAAGAAAGAATCAAATTAAAAAAAAAGAAAGAAAGAAATTGGCAAACTTAGAAAAACCTGAGCACCTTGGATATTTTGTAGGGAGATTTAATGTTTATAGAGCAACAAGCAATCACATAGAAGGTAAGGCAATTTTCAATTACATGTTGAAAAAAAAGTGATACCAGAGACCTATCAGAATGAAGGTTATAGCCAATAAGGACTCAAAGTGAAAAAACCAAACTGCTTTAAGTGTGGGAGAACATGAATGACCAAGTTGCAATTGTTTTGCATCTGATTGGTTAAGAGAATGAACCAATCACAGAGCAAAGTTGAGTTTACCAAAGCAATCCCACTGACTTTCCACACTCAATCGAAAATTGTTCTAAACAAACAAGGAACTTCTGCTGCCAACACTTTCCTTACTTGAGCTCTGATTCCTTTCTTCCCCTTGGCAATGTACTACTTTACAAATATCTTGGTGGTCAAGCTTTCAAGGTTTTCTGAGTTTGACAATACAACTAGCACAGTAAATTTAAAATTAAAAATGCACTAAGACGACTTTCAAATAGAATTTCTGTGTGCCACTTATGGTACACAAAATTCAGGAAAATGGCTCTCAACCCTTAAACTCCCAAGATCTCACAAAATTTCTGTCTGTCATACAATTGATATGATATTAGTTTGAGGAACTTGGTATTAAATAAACTAAAATCCTCCTAATTGATATTTTTCTCCATTCTCATTGCTTTTCTGCTTTATATTTTAGGAGGACATTCTGTCTTGGTCACTCAACAGAGTTAACCCTTTAACCCCTGTGGGTGACTTGCATCTAATTTCTCCTTACAATATCACCCCTGAATCACACAAATAGGTCATGAGAATTAAGGAAATGATCACCACCTAAAGAAGCTCTTGACTGTTAGACAAGTTCTCCTTGTCAGCACTATGGAAATGTATAAAGAATAAACTAGAGAAAATGCATACTGATGTGAGGGTGTACAAAAGTTTAAGGGTTGAGATCATTTCCTGAGACTGTCTCTATTCAATCCACCTTTTAAAGTAAAGTGCAAAGTTTCTTCTTTGGTGGCTCTGGAGGCTCTAATGCAGCCAGAATTGCTTCATCAAAGACATTCTTCAGGCCTTTCTGAGTCAGGGCTGAACACTCTACATATTTGACAGCTTTTAGCTCTCGTGTTAACTTCTCAGCACCCTCAACTGCTATGGGTTTCTGCTTGTTCTTGGTCAGTTTTTCTATCGTTCCTGCGTCATCCCGCAAGTCAACTTGTGTACCAACAAGAAGAAAAGGAGTCTTAGGACAATGATGGGTGATTTCAGGAACCCACTAAAAAAGAGTAAAATAACTTTGAGTTTGCTGACACACCTTAAGTTAAGAGTAGCAGTAAATTTTTTTTTAAAACCTTCAACTGAATTGGTTGACAACTTTCATCACTGATCAAAAAACAAACATCAGAATGCAGCAATCAATTCAAAGCTTCAACATCCCCATCTGGGCAACACAGGGGCATTTGATCATTGTCTATGCCCCCGGTGGTGGGGAATTAAAACCTTGCCTGGCTAGGGTGGGAAATTTGAACCGGAAGTGTCAAATCTTTCTAGCAAAATACAAGTGTTACATCCTTAAACATGGAGGTGTTTAAAGGTAAATAGTTTACTCTTGCTTGCAAATGGCTCAAAAAAAAAGATCTACAAGGTCTAGGTTTTGAAGCTTGATCAATGTGAAAGTCCTGGTCTCTAATTTTGCCTTATACAAAAAATTTACCATCAAATGCAGCACTTGGGTGGGGCATTTGAAAACAACTTTTGCCTCATGGGGCAAGAATTTGAACAAACCATATTCAAAAGTTCAAATGCCCAGGGGTTTGTCAGGAAAGGGGGGGGGGATGGGGAAATGTTAGAGCTTCAAATTGATAGATGCATAATTTTTATTTAGCAAGATAGATAGCCTTATCTTAACACAGGCAGGCTTAAGAGAATTTGAGAAAGTTAAGTAAACCCTTGACTGCCTCTTGGGTTTGCACAACTTCCAAAAATTCTCCCATCCTCGAGTATTCAGATAAATGTAACACAATACAAAAAAGAGTCCTCTATTGCTTTTAAAAAATATATCGCTAAAAATAATTTGACAAATGAAGATAGGCAATATCAACCATATTTACATACTCTCATCTAAATACACCCACCAACCAATGAGGATGTGCTAATTATCTGAAATATTTTATAAATTACCCTTGCCTAGTGACAATTTCTTCCTAAAAAGATTGTACCTTTTCTTTGACATTTTCAAAAGAAGATGGTGACACCACAGAAAAACAAACAAGGAATACATCTGTCTGCGGATAGGACAGAGGTCTCAGTCGGTCATAATCCTCTTGGCCTAAAGACAGTAAAAAAGAGGAAGCATGTAAGATATGATTAATAAGAGTGAAAATGTCTACTTAATTTTCACTTAGGTTTCAGGCTGATATGACTAATGAATAAAGAAACAGTGGTTCTGCCTTGGTGAGGATTTTTAGAAGGTATGCCATAACTTGGTTTGAAAAATTGAGTTGGTAATGTAAATTGGCCAACATGAAGAGTTTCTAAAGTTGATGTTTCAAGAGTTTGCCCTTTGTCAGAGTGAACAACAGAAGGCTTAACCAGTTACATCCTAACATCAGCATGCTTATTCTCTATACCGTTCCCTATACATTTCCTATGATACCATCAAGGAGAATTTGCTGAAAAATCAACAGCTTTTTAGGTTGGTGATCATTTCCTCTATTCTCATAACAGCTGATATTTGATGCTAGGGTGATACCATAGGGAGAAATTAGATGCTGGTCACTCTTGGGGTTAAAGGGTTAAAAGTGACCTTACCTGCTGTATCAAACAACCCTAATGTGAATGGCTCCCCACCAATCATAACAGTGACTGCATAATTATCAAACACCTGGAACACAACAAAGACTGATAAGTTGTTTGTCAATGGGTTGTCCAAAATAACATCAAAAGAACTTTATGATGTAATGCTTAAAGGCCAATTAGAGTTTCCTGATCAAAATAGTGAGGGGAGGGAGGGAGGGGAGAGGCAGTTTAAAGGATGAGAACCTCTCAGCTCCCAGTTCTGAGAGTCTGATGTGAAAATTGAAAAACCTCTTACTAACCAGGTTCCAGGTCTGTACTGTAAGTCACAGACCATGTTTTTTTCACTGGTATTTCTGGCCCAAGTGCAGGCCATAAATCCAAGAGGAAAAAAACAAAGTTCAGTAATTTACAATGCCACCCAACATTAAGAGGTTAGAAAGATTTTCATTATATCTCTGGGTTCAAATAGAGGGGTACATTTCAAATGTTTGAATTTAGTGAGGGGTACAGTGAAATAGGACCTGCTACATTGACCAATATATAATGCACAGGCTAACCAAGAGATATCGCATTATCCCGCAGTTTATATTTTTCTCTATTCTCAGCAACTGTCTGCGCAGTAGAGTATTGGTATTGGTACAGTGCTGTAACCCACATTGTAATTGTATATCACCTTTTTTAAGCAAGTGAACAGCAAAGTTTAAGCAACATCACAAAGAAACCTACTCCAAGATTTCTAATCCAACCTGCTTAACTCCATAATGAGAGAAGAAAACTTACCGTGGGTACATATTCACTTGGAAATTTATTTGTTGTGTAGGAAATCAATAAACAGGTTTTTCCTACAGCCCCATCACCGACTACGACACACTTTATGGTCTGCATACTGCTGTCACAACAACAATATTCAGACTTGTGGGGTTTTCAATGCAGAAGTATACCCTAAATGTAAACAGAAAACATATTTATCAAAAACCCATTAAAGCTATTGAAGAGATACTTGGTATGGACCATGCCCTGTTTCTTTCCAGAACAAGATACATCAGATGAATGATTAAATAACCAAGAGGTAAGTAATTAAGAGGCCTTTACTTGGGCTTCCCTCTATGACAAGGGTATTACTAAACAGGGTAACAAAGAAACAATTAACAGAGTAACAACAAAATGAGTAATGATACTTTATTCTTTTAACCCTTTAACTCCCAAAAGTGATTAACATGGAACTTCTCCCTATAGCATTTGTATTCTGCATGGTTCTACAAACAAAGATATTTGAATTTTGGTGAAAACCCAACACTGTTATGAATTGTTTTGATTGTTAACAATCTGATAAAAAACATAAGCCGTGTGAGCAGTTCAAGGTCACTAGCTGATTGAATTCAATCAATTATCATCTAGATTTATCACTAGATGAAAACTTTAAGCACAAAAAAGTAAAAAAAATATAAATAAACGTACAGTCACAAACGATGCATTCCTAGGTACATTGTTTAGAGGCAGAAGACTAATTATATGTTTGCTTTCAATTGCAAAAAGACTATTGATTCTTTTGAAAATTGCAAAATTATTGATGTAACTTTGATAAGAATTTGTATACCAGCCAGGGCTTGAAATTTAACAGCCAATCAACAGACAATGCCCAATCATATAGAAGTCTTGTCTGGTCAACTCCTTGGATGACTGGACAATTATGCAAGTAGAGAAGACATTAATTTTGAGCAACATTCAGGTTATCCATTGTAAATATGACTGTATCAATTTTCTTGCATTGAGTTTCAGGCTGCACATATAAATCAAATACAAAAGGGTTGGGGATTTTATTGAGATATCATATAATGGATGTTTGCTAACCAAAATGGATTAATTTTGTGTCAGAGCAAAAATAGGTTTGACTTAACAACATGAATGGTACCAGCCAAGAAATTATTTCAGCCTTAAGCAGCCATTTAGCAGTTTTGAGTGGAATTGAAAGCATAATTTACCAGTAACAGGCCAAAAAGGGTGGCTCAATTTCACCCTCTGAATTCAAAGGCTGGTACAAACTTCATGGTACACGTAGAACACTTAAACAGAATATTTCCCTGTATTTTGTGCCTATCTGATGTAACAAAATGGTATCCAAGATAATCTGGCCACATGCTTTTATTTTTTTGCTCTTTCACACTAACTGGCACTCTTAAGCGAGTAACATGGGGGGTAGTGTAAAGCACCCCACATGATGAAAGTTTTCAGTCTTTGGATCTTCATTTAAAAATCATAACTTGATTCTTTATCACTGAAATGTCATACATTAATTCAGCATTCACTTTTAAAGGTCTAGGCAAAACAATTTGCTTATTAAAGTCAACATCTCCTAGTTGACAAAATTATTTTTTTCATACATTATCAAGTGTTCAAAAACTTACTGATTTTAGCAAGAGAAATGAGAGTCGGATCTAAAATTTCACAATTTATCATGGATCGTCAAAAAAGGGACTATAGTTTATTGTCTGTGATATACAAGTAGAGCTTTTTAAAATAATTCATTATTCATTGAAGACCTAGGGTAGAAAGTCTGCTGGAAGGTAGATCTATTGTTGAGTTCATTGCAAATACAGAAGATAGTTCTAAAAATTTTCTACATAATTTTTAAGAAATCTTGATTATTGTTCACATGATCCATTAGAATTTATTACAGTCTAAGAGCCTGCAAAATTTGTGGTTTCTTTGTGATGAGGTGTTGAAAGAGTGGGTGAATAATTTCCATAAGTGCGCCAATTCTAGGTTAATTCCTTAGTATAATATACATTCAGGCAGCTGGTTCTAAAGACGAGCTTGCAAATACATGCATGCATGATTTAACATCAAGGAGGATATTATGAGCCGATGAGGAAACATGAAAGAAGTAGAGCGACCATGAAGATAAAAGCCACAGGAAGATTATAGGGGCTAAGATGTTAAGACTTACAGAGGAATTATCATGATCAGGTATTCTGGAATGAAAGATCGTGCTGTCTGTGACTTACAGAGTTACACGACTAAGCCTGTAATCAGACTTCAACATCAACACAAGCTAAATTATTTGAAGAATTAGTCGTTACATCGCGAATGAAACCTCTGTCTTACAAATCCATGCAAAAAAAGAAGAATCCCCCAAAGCACAGTCAAATATTACCAGCTGTGCAGAAAAACAAACTGCATGCACTGCAGATGAAATAAATTTCGCTGAAGATCCATTAAACTAAAGCATCTTTCAAAAGTCAAATTCCAAATTCATGTCTAAAAAGGTGAAGAAGGTCGTACGTACGAGAAAAGGTATACCTACCACAAAACAAAAACGTCTTGCTATGCACCAGAAAGCTTCACGAACCAGCTTTGGCCTGAAAACTTGTGTAAAATTCACAAATTATGTTGTAATATTTTGATCACTTCCCAGGGGCGTTGGTAATGATAGCACACAAACGAGGCTTGAATGGTTAAGTTATGACACCTTTAGTGATTGGTTTTTTTTTGCCAGCCAGGCCACTAAGCTAAACTTTACCCAATCAGGTGGTCTCTTAGAAATTCGAGTAAAATTTTCACATTTACCCGGGAATATAGAATTTGGAATGAAATTTACCAAGTTTTCAAATATTGACAGGTTTTGACGCCATTGAGCCACTGACTCGGATCGTAAAATTTTCAAGGTACGTTTGATATCAATACAATCCATTACCACTTAAATTGGCGTCCTTTAAATAAGTTAAAAGATACACACCAATGCAAAACGATTCCTTGTGCCTCAGGCATATTGGCAGAACACGTCCTGGCAGAATCCTTACATTTACCATGATTGGTTTTTAAATTACCCCTTTTAATTTGGGCTTCTAGCGATGGTAAATTGGCTTTGAAGATCCAATTTCAGAAACAGGCGCACTATTAGTGATGTTATATTCGTCTGTTTTAATAATTAAATAATGATTTAGTATTTGTTTGCTGTCTTCAGAAAGTGAATGAATATCGAGTGTCGCAAAACCGAAACCATAAATATTTGTCTAACAGGAATGAATTGACCTAAGTTTTGTCAGTAGTCATTAATTTCTAGAGCAATATTTCTGTCAAACATAAAAAAAATATTTTTCCTCTGTGTTTTGTTTTTAAAGCCAACGGCAGGGTTGAAAATTTGACTCTAACAATGGTGAAGCCTCCTTCTTTTTCAGGAACATAAAATGTAAAATGCTATGTTATCATCCTCAGATTAATTATCTTCTTGACAGAAGGGGATCAAAACTTAAAATTTAACTTAGATATTAGTAAGAATTGTTTTCCAACTGTGTAACAAAGAATGAAAAAGTAGAAGAAAACATGCGAGGAACTCAGACACATGAATTAATAATTAAATAGGTTAGTTTCGGCCCAGTTCAGATGTTGTGCCTCTGCCAAGCAAAACTTAATTTTAATAAGGTTCAACTATAGCAAGGGGAAAGCACGACTCTGATTCAGACGTCAGGTTAATGTAGTTCAAAATTCAGCATTTACTAAGGGAGAATTATTTTTGACTCTCCCATGGTAACACAATCTTGCCAAAATGCATTAGTATAATTTAAGAATTTTGTTTGGCACAGCAAGGGAACAACGTCTAAATCACTGAGCCATGTAGCACAGCAGAGTTTGTTAAACTTAATTACTTTCCAGGACTTAATTAAAAAGTTTGATTTAGATGCTGTGCCTCTACTGACTGCTTTTGTCACTTGGCAGAAGCACAACATCTGAACTGGGCCTTGGATATTTGATCAATACACTACTTCCCTGTCACTATGAGATATTTTAATCTGATAATGAAATGACAGACAATTGATGACCTGATAAGTCAAGGTGAAAATATACACATTACTATGGGGATAGATATTAAGTAAGTGATACATGTGCGTGTGTCTCTCCAACCTGTATTTGGACTTTCTCACAACTTACAGCAATTGCACTATTTAATAACACTGCAAATGTTACTATTGAAAACAAAACTCTTCAGAGAAAGCATCTGTTGAGTTTCACTTTTGCCAGCAATTAAAAATATCTATAAATAATATTTATAGAAAATACAAATGCATGAAAAAAAAACCTGTTTGGATTGTGTATGAGTTGGTTAAGAAGTGAGTTTCATCAACTTCTTGATAATGTACTTTTTGTTTAAGACAGATTTTCTCCTTACAATATCAATACAATATCAAGCAGACAAGTGATGAGAATAAAGAAAAATATCAGTAAGGGGATTATAACTTGATCCAATACCAAATTCTCCTAACTAACATTACAAGAATTGTATGACAAACAGTAAGAATTACAAATGAGATCTTGGGAATTAAAGGGTTAACACAGATGTTTACATAATAGGTATATTTGCACACATTTTCATTAAAAAATAATGAAAGGCATTGTTATCCCATGAAAATTGTAAAATTAACTACTATTGTGACAATCATCTCTGTTGAAGTAGTATCTTTTTTTCAACTACCTAGAAAAATATCATCGTGGTTATTGTTATAGTGTAGTAAATAGTAACATCTTAATTAAATAAAAAAAAAAGGGAAAACTTACAAAACAGTCTCATCAATATCATCAAATAATATCAACCAAAAAATAAATATTGAGCTACTAAAATGTGTATTTCCTTTGTCTGATAGACAGCATTATTATCTATAATTGTTTTTCAGTATTTATCTTTGCAAAGTAAAAAATTGTGGAGTTTAGGCTTTTATGTTTAGCCATATCTATTTCTTCCATCCACATTGACCATAAAAATTTTCATTACTTAAACTAATAACTTGAAGTGAGAATATCTTTTGTTAGTTAACGTAGAGAGCAGGTTGGCTCATGATTTGAGAGAGTCTAGTTTATGTTATTATCATCACACAGGAAGTGTATCTGCTGAATGTTCTTCCATGAATTTTCTGAAGTTCTCATTCTCTAGTTCAGTCATCACCTTATTTAAGGCATAAATCTGTGGAAATGAGGAAGACAACATATTTCATTTAAATTTATATATTCTATAGTTCATATCAAGATTGAAGCAGCCATCCATTGTTCTGAAACTTCTTCAAATGTTGAAAGAAGCCCACACCAAATTATGGCATTCTAAAATTAAGGTTCTTCAACAGCAACAAAGGTTATGGATACGTTCTGGGCCGTGAAAGGTCAGCAGTTATAATGTATAGTGTCGTTGTTTTACATTACATAGCATAGGTTTACGTTAATATTAAATAACAGTACCTCAGCTCTCTGCCTTTGTTTAAGTTGTAAAATTGCACCATAAGTTCTTTTCTGCTCTTCTTTAGCTGCCTTCTCTTTCCTTTTTTGTTCTTCAGCTCTCAGTTTATTTCCTAAAACAAAAAATAGTTTGCCCAGAAGCAAAGTTTTGAGTGCAAATGTGAAATTTTGAGGACAATTTCTCAGCCAGGGACACTATCAGCCAAAATACCACCAGGCAAAAAGGAATTTTATTTATTTTATAACTTCCCATAAATTTTCATATTGCACATTGACAGCAAATCTCTAAATTACATTTTTTTTTTTGTACTTTCCAGAGCAAAGGACAACATGAAAAATTGAAACTCTTGAGCTGACTTTTTCCACTGGTTTGGCTTCTTTCCAAGGCAAATAATCAGAGCACAATTATTGATGTAGACAGGGGTTATTGCATGATAACTGTCTCTGATTTTCTAAAAAGTTTCCAATAGAAAGAAAGGAAATTTAATTATGAATGGGTTAAAATAACAGTTACCATGTTTCCCATCTTTTGAAACTCATTCATGATTGATCTGTCATTCAAGTGGTTGTTCACTTACCTATTGTTATCAGTCTTGTTTTAACTACTCTTTGACTCTGGAATAACAAAAACAAAAGATACAAGTGTTCATTTTAGACACCATTTAAGAAAAAACTACAACATATAACATGGGTTCTGGTATTGGACAACTTTGACCTAATATTAAATGTAATTTGTAATGAAGTGAAATTGTTTGTCTCACAATTTAGTCACTTTGTGATGGATTGCGACACTTCATACTGCAGTCTTTTACAGGCACTTAGCCACATTTACATTGGAATTGACAACCTTGTAAGGCCAACAATTGTACATCTTTGAAAGTACATTTGCCATGATTGCTGTTTTCAACCTTTTTTAGCAATATAAATATAGCTGATATGCATTTAAAGAATGCTATTAGTTAATACAGAAATTTACCTTTACATCTGACAGTGAAGGAATATATTCCACTTTCTTTAATTCATCTAAAACACAACAAGACAACAGATGCTAATAGATTATAAAAGATTCAACCACCATTTTTAAATTAATTAAGTGCCCAACCTCAATCAAATGTCCATCCTGTGGGTGTAAATAAGTGTCAAGGGTCAAATAAGCCCACACCCTCAGGATCCAAGAATTAATGAGGGCATGGGGCGCTTAACTGAGTAAATACAGACATTGGTACTTACACTTTTGTTTTAAAAATCAGCACCCAGCTAAATTCACTTGATTATTTGGTAACCAATTGAATGGTTAAATAACTGATTGAGTGACCGGTTGAATGTCAGATCAATTAGTTGCAAAAATTAAGATTTGTTTTTAGTTTTATCCTCATGCTATTGTACTATCATTCATTTGTTTTAGTTTGGATTAAATTACAGAAATGGAGTCGTGTGCTTATAATGCGCATGCAGTCAGAACAAGTAATAATACACTCAATCAGCTGTGCCATAGATGCCACTTTTCCATTCTTGCCACATTTGACATTAACTGTTACTGAGGAGAAGCATTGAAAATTGGAATGCATTTGTTAAAAGATAAGGAGTAGCCAATCAGATTAGAGAACTTTTGATAGTACACTGTCTAGTAGAATTATGATACTAAATATTATTTAATACTTGCCAGCTGAAGGTGTGCATGGTGGAGCACATGGTACTCCTGTTATCATTCCAGAGTGTGCTTCAGATAAGTAGATCTTCTTCACTCTATTATCTTCAGAGTTCCATAATTTCCGTGGTGATGACAAAGGAGAAAATAAAGAGGTATTTTCCATTTCTTGTTGTTGTTTCCTTGGAGAAAGCGTGCTTGAACTTGATGTATTAGGTAAATTGGTGTTGGGTACTTTAGGCAAAAGGATTCTGTCACCAGTGTTCTTTTCACTAGAATTACTCTTGTTGCCTTTCTTTGGTGCATAAGTTGCATGAAGTTTTTGTATGCTCAAGTATTTTGCGGAATTGTCTTTTGATTGGTGAGAATTTGTCCTCGTTATTTCTTCTCTGGAATTTAATTGAAGACCTGTAATTTAGAACATGACTGAAGTCAGTCCTAAGTCTCAAATAAAATAGTGATTTAATTAGTTGGAAACTAAATGTAGAAAGAAGTTTTAACAACCAAAACAAAATCAGGGTAGTTCATTGCAACAGAGGCAAAATTGCTCAACTGCAGATCCAGTCTAGAAACTAATATCCCTGCAGCTGACGACATCTTGTAACTCTGATTTTCATAGCCAAACTTGCAATTTCCTCAGTAACTACTTACTATGACAGCTATTCAACCCTCACAACCGTTCCTGCTTAACTCTTGAAAATTACTTGATCTACAACAAAGTTTTCCAGGGTAAAGCTATGAAGACTAGTTTAAGCACTAAATGACATATTGAATAATACCTGGGTGCTTCTTTTGTTTATTTGGGTTGGCAAGTCTGGTAAATAATCCAAACCCTCCTGAACCTTTTTTTAATGAGTTCTTTCTTTTCCTGGGTGATTTTGATTTGCTCCACTTTTTTCTACTTCTTTTGTTTGTCTTTTCACATACGCTCTCCTCATTCTGTTTGATTTTCATCTCAACAGCATTAGCATCTTGTTTAATATTCTCCACTACAGCAAAGTCACAAGTATCATTGTTTTTCTCATCTACCACAGGATCACTGTTATTTAGTTTCCTTTCTATCAGTTGAAAGTTTTCATTGTCTTTGATTTGCTTTTCATGATTGTCTTCATTTTCTTTGATTTTTACAGCTGCTGTTCTTAATGGCAGTAGTTCTTTTTCATCCTGATTGATTTTACTATCACCTGAAATCGATAATATCCATTAATTCTTGATACCATGTAACTTCTTCTGTCAGTATCAAAACATCATCCAGCAAATAGGTGACGAGAATCCTAAAATGTATCAGGTAGAAGTTGTTATGTTGATCTAACAGTAAATTCTCCTAACCAATTTACAAGACAATGTGAAGCAGGCAGAGGGGAGGATTAACAAGGGGATCATGGGAGTTGCAGGTTAACAGAGCTGCTTAAACTTCAAGTATCAATATATTTGTGATAATCAGCTCAGTCATGAAGTAGGATAGTCAACACCCTGATAAACGTGAAAAGACTAAATTCTCATAACTGGCATTTGAAGCAACGAATGGCGGTTAGTTGGGATATCTGTTAATTCAATCATTACCGGTAGTAAGATCAAATGCAATAAGTTGTACTTTGGCAGCAAAATAAACTTGTTTTCCTTACCAAATGGTTCGTCCTGTGAGTTTATACGGCGTTCTGTAGCAGATGAAATTAAACTACCTCGCCTGGAAGAAATCGCGTGACAGTTGCAAATATTATCAGGCGAAGTGCAACAACTTTGTTTATGCGCGCGGAATACTGACTTGATTTGCATATTTTGCGGTGCACCATTTTCTACTTCAACAACCTCAACTCTCTCCGGCAAGAACTCCTTGCATTCGGTCCTTCTACTGCAGTTACTACGTACAGACGATGCTGAGCTATTCCTTCTTTGATTTCTACTTCGCAAAAGACGGATGATAGGACTGGAAATCGCCGATGGACTTGCTCCACATCTGACATCAACAATTGGAGGTTTGATGATTGTCAAGGGGAAATCGCCAGATATTGTCCGTCCTGTTGGCATCCTGGGCAAAATAGCTGTTGTACTTTCTAGAGGAATCATGATACCATCCGCCAATGTTTTTAAACTTGCGTTGTTTGATTTAAAGTGTCGCGATTAATTAATTTTCCACAAATCGCCAAAAGTCAGCTCGGAGCTATAGTCACTGTTTTGGAATTTGAGGAACTTTAAACATCGTTGCTATGGGGACTTCATGTAACCTGGCTTTTGGTTTAACCGCTGACCAATCTACTTTCACGAAAAAAAGAAAGAAAACTAGATATCCACGTGAATATCCGTGCAAGAAATAAACAGTTTGGAATGAGGCCTTTAACAGAGGAAGAAACCCAAAGTGTGTTTGAAAAGCTGGCAAAATAGTGAGTACACCCTTTTTAATTTGTACCTTCGTGATTAATTTAATTATCCCATCACAAAGTAAGGTTTAAAAAGAGGTTTACTCCAGTGGCCGTAATATGACGATGCTAACTGTGTATATATTTTCATTTTGTAGTATTGGGGATAATATAAAACTTCTCATCGACAGACCAGATAGAAATTATTGTTTTAGATTGCATGATGACCGAGTCTACTATGTAAGGTAAGTAGATGACGCGTTAGGACAAAAAAAAAGAGCAACGCTCATATTTATTAAGCACATGAACAGTTTTTGTTTGTGGCCATAGCCAAGATAATATTGATAATATATTTTTACTTACTGAAAGCTGTATGGCACAAGTGGTTTGAAATTTAATTTTTTTGGTGATAAATAGCTGCAGATGGAAGATCAGGAAGGTTTCCTTTGTTTAAATCCACAGTCTGGTTCCTATGTAGTTAAGGAGAATTTTTTTGAACCTAGCAGCAGGGTATCTTACATTTTACGTACATTTCCATGATTACTAACCCCAGGAACTTATTTGGGTTTTATTTGGTGCAGTACACTTGGCAAATCAAACTATCTATCGAGAAGACTTGGCCTAGCTACTTTTGAATTATCAACGAAAAGGATAAAGTATAAGTTACTATACCGTATACCGTACTTCCTTCATGCGTCTTGTTGAAAATTGATTATATTTGAACTGACAAAATAAAGAGGTCTGATAATTTGTAGGCTGACTAGTGCATCAAGTCATGATTCAGTTGTGTAAACAAAAATAATTTTTTTGGGGACTGAGTCATGTCAGTCACCAATGTACATGCATGCATGCATGTGCAAGACTTTACAAGTGTTAAATCTTTTCAGAAATAGCAACCAGTGGTAAGAAAATCACTACCTACTAAGTTATGTTTGTGGCTGTCTGCTCAGTTGAAATATTCCTTTTATTCTTTATTAAAAGAAAAGGGAGAGGTCTGTCTTATATTCCTGTTCTTCAAAAACAAGGATGCTTATGTCAAAATACTCTAACAGTCCCAAGTGTTTCTAAATTGTTGACTCATAGTTGTAATCTATTTTCATTTTCAGTGAAGAAATCATGAGAAAAGCCACAAATATAGCCAGAGAAAACCTAATAAGTATTGGAACATGTATTGGGAAGTTTACAAAGACAAGAAAATTCAGACTTCACATTACAGCACTTGATTTCATGGCACCATATGCCAAGGTAAGTAATTACCACTGCAGTTCACATAATAAGAGGTGATATATGTTTGTTATTATTAGCTGTAACATGTTACATGAAATCATGTACTTCTTTGGGCTCTCAAAAAAGATTGTACAGTGGAAACCTATGAGGACAGTCACCAATGGGTGCAAATGAATTGGCCACATTAACCATTTAACTCCCAAAATCTGATAGTTAATTCTCCCCTCTAGCTTCTACACATTTCCTTCTAAATTAATCATGAGAATTTAGTGTTAGATCAAGATAACAACTTTAACCTGATAAGTTTTATTTTCTTCT